ATTATTCACTCAAAATTGATATTTACAATAATTTTCAGACAAAAAATAAGATTATTATAAATTTTTGGAAAATGGGCGCAGCCACGCCCACTTATGGTTACATGTGTATATCTTGGTAACCGCTGCACCAATTTCTTCCAAACTTGGCACAGTTGTTGGTCTTGGTACAGCATAATAAATGGCCAAAACTTTTTAAAATCGGACAATAACCACGCCCACATCCCATATAACGGTAATTTAGAGAAATACAAAATCTTCGATAAATCAGTAAATATTAAAGCTAATTTATTCAAAATTGACGCAATTGAACAATTCTTTACCAAGAAATACGCTTATGGTAAAATTTTGGAAAATGGGCGTGGCACCGCCCACTTATGATCACATATATGTACATATATCGGTAACCGTTCCACCAATTTGTACCAAACTCGGTGTTTTTATTGTACTTGCCACACAGAAGCAAAACGTTGAAAATTATTGAAATCGGACTAAAATTACGGCCGCTTTTCATATAACGGTAAATTTCAGAAATGCTTGAAACTTCAACATTTCGAAATTTAAGGACGCTAATTTACTCAAAATTGATACACCCCGGCTTACCATGTAGCGGTAGCTTTCGGAAAGGTGAAAAACGTATATTTAATACTTGCGCCGGGTATTTAATGTTCGGCTCCGCCCGAACTTAGACTTTCTTACTTGTTAAGTAATAATTTCATTGTAAATAAATTAATGTTAATAGTAACGGTCCTGCGATGGTTTTCACCATAAAAAAACTAATTAACAATTTGGGTAGGTATAAGGTACTTGGTCAGGAAAAAAAAAAATGAAAAATTCCATCCCCTAAATTTGCCGACAAAATTACTTTTTCATTTTTCTTAGTGTTACTAGCGTTAACTTCGAAATTCCATAAGCCTTTGAGATTTACTTAGTCTCTTTAGGGGTAATTTTAAATAATAAATAGGTACTGTTTGTTTTGTAAATAAAAATTTTATTCTGGGTTGCCTCATTTTTGGCTTTACATGAAAATTGTTAAAAATAAATCTCGATGTGATAAAAAAACATTATTCAACATACCTTGATACTTAAAAAAGTAACACAATTATGGAAATAAAATTAAATTTCGCAGCCCCGTATAATCGGTTAGACTTCTAGCTGAGCGGATCGGGTTGAATACGAGCTCTCTCTCTAATATCTCAGTTTAAAGCAGTCTTAAAAGAGAATGTAAGAGGGCCACTTAAATCCCCTGATAAAGGTACTTAGAGGCATCATCGATGTGCAAAGTCAGAAGCGCTAACCACTGAGCCCGTAAACTCTTGTTGCTAATTCATTTCCTTTTTCAACCTACTGCTATCAAGTGCAGCTGATTTGTCGCTACTTAGACTTGACAGCGTGGTTGGTATTTTTATATTACATATAGATAAGGTCTTATACAAAAAATATAAGTGATAGTTACTCCGGTTATCATATTCTTTATGAAACTCAAAAAAGAAAAGCAAAAGGGTTAAGAGGCCTACAAAATAAGCTCCACACTTTTCAGTAATGCATACATTATTTACTACTAGATAAAAGAAAAATCAGCTTCCGGCAGTCGCCTATTACCTTTTCCGCTCTAAAACTTCATGCAATCTATATAAAGTTTAACCAGCACCATTACCAAACTATTTGACAACAATCAGTTTTTAGGTGCTTTCGACGATGCTAATTACAAATTCATAATCTGATGAATAAAAAATGGTGAACAAAAATGCATATACATAGTCTCTTTTGGAATTTTGATTTTTCTAAATACCTATCACATGGTCCGGGAAGTTTCTTTATACATTGATCAGCTTGATTGGGCTAACCTTTTGTGAGATATTGACTTTTTTCCGATTGCCTTTGATTTGGAACCACTGTGCGCCATACGTACGTGCCTATTTATATGACCATAGTCGGTATACAGGCCCCTAATCTGCGGAGCCAAAATTAAGTTCAAGTGGTTCGGCTTTTTTTGCGTCATTTTAATAATAGAGACATTTTCTACAATTTTTTTTGAACAAAAAATAAAACTCTATAAAAAATTATCAAACACTTGTATCACATACAATATTTTCAGTTTCCTAGTTAGAAAATCACGTGCACAAAGGTCAAGCTCGTGTTCTATTCGGGAGGCTGTCAATTTCAATCAGGTAAATTTGCCGATTGGTGCAATTTTATTGGCTAAAATTTGAACGAAGACAAATTGAGAACGCAATAAAACAGTTCCTGAAGTCATTTCTATAACCGTTATTTTAAACAGAAGCATGTAAAAAAAAACTTCGAGCTGACAATGAAAATACACCCTAAAGACAACTTTAAAGTGGCAGCAGTACCCATTTCGAAATAAAATCATCTAAAAAACTCAGTGCTCTTACCATAATGTGAAGCTGCGCGACGATTTTTCGGCGAACTCGGGCATGTGTACAAAAATGAGCGCTGCGTATCTGTAAGAGACAGATAAAACTATGAATTGACTGGGAAATGAACAGCTGGGTGGTGAGAGCACACACATCACGAATAAAAAAATAAAAAACGAAAAGAAGGTTGACAAAATTATTAGGTAAATGGTGTGAAATGAAGAATGCACGAGAAGAGGAAGAGCAGAGTTGGTATGTATTTGGTTATGCAATTAAATAATTGAAAAATTTCCATTCTTAGCTACATTAAACATGCGCGAGGTCTGCTGATAACATTTTACTCACCATTTCGCTTGATGCGATTATGATCCGGCGAACCGGAACACGAGTATCTTGAAGTCATATTATCACGCCGATTCAGGGTTTCAGCGCCGATATGCACGAAGGGACACCAGCGAAAGAACAATTTGAAGCCATAACGAAATCTGTAAATGTTTGGTAGAAAGAAAGAAAATTTTGAAAATTTGCAAGGATACATACATACATATGTATGTACATAAATATATATAAGCCGTTTATTTTGATAGTGGCATAAGTCACTACATACTTCTTGTGTTTCAATGACCGGTTACGTGTAACCGAATGCATCAGCAAATATTGCTATCGTCATAAACTAATGACGAAACCTTTCGCCTTTGGTTGGTGAAGTTGAAAGAGTAACCGAAGCCTCCAGGAAAAAGTAACCGGTCATTTAGGCACAAAGCATGTGAAGTGACTTATGCCACTTTTAAAATAAATGGCTTACATGTACATAAATGCGAGCATGTAAAAAGCGGAAGCTGAAATTTACAATTGGAAAATTTTTAAAGTGGAATGCAGATGTGTGAACCACAGTTAAGAATTGTGACTGCATCGATGTGTTCTTTGTATTTTCATTGGCTGTGCAATCGTCATCGTTAAACTGCTGCAGTCATCACAAGCAAATACATACTTGAGCAGCAGTAGCAGCAGCTACAGGCACTTATGTATATGCACCGCAATTGCCACAGCGCAGCAGCTTGCAACTGCAGGTGACGGCAAGAAATTAATTCAAGTTGCTGCCTCGCGGTTGTTATTCGCTACAGCGGAAGTGCGGATTTTCTCACTAAATACGACGACGGAGAAATAATCGTTGCACTCGCTGCCTTTGATTGCTTCGATGGGGTGGTGCGGGAAATGAAATATGTACGCAATTGAGTGCTTCTGAGTCGGATTGACACTGCGCTTGTTGAGGTGTCTTTGAGCGCGTACTAACATACATATCACACTAGCAGTCTCTCGTTTATAAGGCTCAGCAGCCAGTCAACGTTGTGGTTGTGGCAAATTGCTTTAAATAAATTCCACAAACGTAATGTTTGTGGCTGTAAATAAATGTCATTATGACACGCAAAGCACTGACGCTGCAGGCCACACGCACAAGTGCTGCTTGAATTTGGCGCTCCCCAATCCCTTACATAACTACCGAAAATTTCAGGAATTTTTATTTTAAATAGATTTTAGTAAGCGCAAACGCTCGCGGTGGCATTTTCCTGTGCGATTAAAAGCATTTTGTTCTATTTTAGAGGAAAGTTGATTTATTAGTGGAGTAGTGCTGAGTAAGTGGGCGAACGTGATGGATTAAATAATTCAGGGTAGCAATAAAGCTGGAAAACATACAGAAGTGCATAAGTATATGTATGTACGAATTGTAGCAAATATTTTTGAATACCTACCCTGACGGAAGCAACTGAAGTTTTTAATAAACTAATTAAAATCCTACTTTAAAACAATTTTAAAGAGTAAATGTTTCGAATTTTGATACGCTTTTTTTATTCAACGAAACAATTTATGTCTTAAAAGTACATATGAAAAAGCATATGTGAAGTGCAAGCATGTTCAAAAAAAAACGTACTGACTTTGAAGTTGTTTAAACCAAATTCATTTTAAGGTAGTTTAAATTAAATGCAGAGTCGAACAGTCGACTTGCTGCTTGCAGACAATTCAAACTGATCATTTGAAAGCACAGTTACATGTCTGGCTGTAGCTGCGCGTGCAAAAATGTTTGCTACAATTGGTCGCAGCCAAGAATGTCCATGTTCAAATCTCATTTAATTTTAAATTTTTAATTTCGGATTTTCTTAGTTTTGAAAAAGCATCTGTGAAGTGCAAAACGAAAGCATACTCAAACGGAACATACTGACTTTGAAGTTGTTTAAGCCAAATTCATTTTAAGGTTATTAAAACTACATGCAGGAAAAGGCAATTGACTGCCTTCTAGGATATCGCCATGTTAAATAAATGAGTTGGTTGCAGGTATAATAGTGAGAATTTCAATTAGTTATCATTGAAAATAAAGTAGTTTATAAATTACTTTGAAATTAATTAAATTTCCTGCAGGGTATGTACCGTAACGAAGCAATGTACCTATATGTGTGTGCATGTGAATGCACAGTGGGTGTGGCTTAAATTAATTTTGAAACTGATTTAATCTAAAGTTTGCCATATAAACTTTGATTACCTGAGTTCGGGCTGTTACTTATTAAGCATAGTTGGTATGCGACGAGAAGTGTGCATGCTTTTATTGTGAAATTCTATTGCTTCTGCTTTTCGGTATTCAACTTTTTCATTAAATATGTTTTAAACTAGAAATAACCTCGTATAATTAATACGTAGAATGTATAGTAAATTAGCAGTTGCTACAATAGATGACCATTAGGGTGGTTCTTAAGTTTAGTGTGTAATTTTTACATCAGATTTCCTAAACCTCAATCCCTACGTCGATGTTAATATAGTCGAAGATATCACATATAAATTTTGGTCCCGATTGAAGTCGGTTAAGGAGCGCCACACTGGGTTCAAAGTTCAGATTACCCGACTTCAAGCGGGACTAAAATCTATATGTGATTTCCTCGACTTTAGTAGTATCGATTTTTGGCATTAAATGAAAAAACATATTTGTAATTCTTTGAATCGCTAGAGACATCTGGCATTTGACCCCTGCGCGATACGCCATTATCGACTCCAATCGGGACAAAAATTTATATGTGATATCATCGATTATGGTAGTATCGATTTTGGGTATTAGATACAAAAAATTAATTTTACTTTTTTGAGTCTCCATAGAGGAATCTGTGCGACACGCCTTAACCGTCTCCAATGGGGAGCAAAATTTATATGTGATATCTATGACATTGGTGTTACCGATTGAAGGGGTGAGACTGGAAAAATCGTTCATTTGATTTTTAAGGACCATCCTAATGGCCATACGTTTTTACCTTACATATAAATTAAATTTTTGCAGAAAGGAAAAGGAAGCTACAAAATTCAATCTATGTATATGAAATAACCTAAGGAATCTCAGTCCTACAATTCTTTCCAAAAATAAAATATGAAATATGAAAGTGTAGATATTATGTAATAACAAAGCAGATGGTAGGTGCAAGATACGCATTTGTGGTTAATCAACTTTCTGAAAAATTGTAGTTTATTTTACTTGTTTAAAAATAGCACGCAGCTGTAAAGTTGTGATTCGGAATTGTCTAAAATTGTAAACAATTTTCAACCTAACTTGGAAGCTATGTAGGTAATATGTGGTCAAGTGATCCCGAAAGCGAAAACGAAAAAGCTCCTGCTGTGTGTCGCTATAGGAAGAGAATTAAGACCTTAACCAGTCACCGACATGACGCACTTTCGTACAAGGACCACGTCACCGTCATGTGGTGGTGAGTTTTGGTTAACACGAGGACACCATAAGATGGATCGTGTCACTTAACACGGTCTACGATTTTACCTCGATGGCTGGTTGAGTTCTCATTTGCGCATTCTTAAAAGGGAGAATTCGTGGAAAGATGCCGACTCTCTCGGTAGCAAAGTGAAACTCTTTTCCACGATATAGGCGCATCATTAAAGTAAATAAACAAAGACTATTTGCCAAATGTGGAAATTCTCTTCACTTCTTAAATTTGCCCATATTTCTTCTAAATTGTCCGTAAACATGAGCTAGGCAAGTTATATGGATAATTTTGGAATAAAGCACGGCTAACGAAGATTCTAGATATATGGCGATGCATCTGTTACAAAAAGTATCTAAAACTTTTTTGCACTGAACTCCATCTGGCAATAGAAGATGCCGTGAATCATCATTTCTGTCAATAGAAAACTACGTCCTTTTTCTACAAAAGGCCCAATAATAACATTGACGACATGATGGCCAGCTTTGTCAGTCGTTACATCAATCGAGAGAAAAATAGGATTTTCCCAATTCCACGTCTGATTTCTGGATCATCTATGTATAATTTTATAAGCCTAATAATAATAAATAATAATAATAAATATTAAAATAATAATAAAATATTAAATAATAATAATAATGAATATTTTTTTGTTAAGCAGCTAGTTACCAATAAGCAAATTTATAGATTCAATAAATATATATTAATTTTTAGAAAACTTACGCATTCCCTTTTCGAAGTAGATTTTTTTTTTTTTAAAGATCATAAATGCTCTTCAGTCATACCATTTCGTATTTCGCTATATAAAAAAAAAGCTGTAATTTTTAACTATAAATTTTCCTGTGCACATCAATTGAATCGATGAGTTCGACACCCGTAGAAGTACAAAATCAGTTTTTCGTTGTTGAGCTCAAAAATAGTACAATTCACGGAATTGCATTGGTTTGCTCTCATTTCAACTTACTAGATACTTCGGCGTTAACGTAGCACAGCTGAGTGCTTCCGCTATGTGTGGAAAAAAGCCGTGCATGACTTATACTGTTTTTGAACTCAACAACGAAAAACTGATTTTGGATATGTACGGGTAGGTAGCTTTAAAGGTAGGTTACATTAGAGGCTACTGATTAAACTGCATTTTACTCACAGGACAATTGTATTGTATGTTTTGAGTTTGCAAGATATTAGCTCTGAGTACTTCTCGTTTTTGTACCGTCTACCAGGCTGAATTTTCAGCAATGGCGGAACATGGAAAGATTTGCGAACTTTCATTTTTAATATGACATTCTTTCCGCTCTGATATCTAAGCATTTAATTTTGTCGGATTTATGCGTTAAAGTGACCAAAATGTACATGCGGAATGTGTGTGTGTGAGAATGAACTTTTCGAAGAAATTACTCAAGCCAAAATGCATAAGCGCATAAATAAATGGTTAAATCACTCCTTTTCAAATTTTCTGCGCTGTGCGAGAGCTGCTTTATCTGCTGCCACAAAACCGCACACATCGACTTATTAACTGGACAATGGACTCTTTGTTTACTGTGAGTAAAATCTGCACTGACCAAATTTGGAAAAAAAAA